CAGGAAGACTTCGTTATGCCACAGTCCATGGTGTGGCTACTGTGAGCATCTCTGTGTCAGAAGTGGGATGTGTTGTCCAGTGACACCAAAAGGATGGCCACAGCATTTTCAAAGGGCAATTCAGTCATTTGGCCAGATTACTTTAAAGTCAAGGTAATAATCTTCAATCTGAAAATCTCATACTAAAATTTGGCAAAGGTTACAAGAAAGTAGATGACTTTGAGTTTTGGATAGTCTGGAAAATAAATATTCACCCTATGAATAGACAAACATTGACAAGCATACACAGAACCTTAGGAGAAAACTATCCAAATCTTGCTTTACCTCATGATCTCACCTAATACCTTCATATTATATATGCAACGTGGAAAAATGTATGTAGAGATCAAAGATAGACCCATGACTGTCTTTTTTCATAATGACCAACTCTAACTTTTTTGGTAAAGTATACAAGGCCGAGCACACAGAGTCACTTTTCTTACCTCCAGTCTATGAGAGATCTCAGGAAGCTTGGTAATTGCAGGCTCTTTGTAAACAAATTCTTGCTCATCCAAATCCCCAAATTTGGATCCATAGAAACCAACTCGGAAGTAGGTCCCAAACATCCTCTTGTGACCCTAATGAGCAAAATAAGAAAACCTCTCCTAAGTTATGTACTTCAAGAGGATTCATGGCATTGCAAAGGATGGGAGCCATTCGCTGTTGTGTTATAAAGCAGTTTGTTCCTATGGAAAGTATAAACAAATCATGCCTTAAAATTTTTAATGTGTATGAAATGAATTTTGGAAATAACAACAAAAGAAATCCCATGAAAAATTTCTAGGACTTCTTTTAAGTGAATCTAAAAGATGCTCAGATTGCCGGCTTGTGAGGTAATTCGAGCAGCCTGCTTTCATACTCTGAATTGGGGTCAGTGCTCTAGTTTGTTCCCAGCCCTTTTCTGTTTGGAAGGTGAGAACTAGAGTCATGATGTGCTCAAGGTAGACCACTCCCTAGAGAGGAAGGAGGGCTCAGCATCTCTAGGTCAGGGTCATCTGCTGCCAGGTAACTGTGTTGGCCAGGATCCCCAGCTACCTTGCTAATGATGCTGTCAAAGGCCTTCTGCAGCTTGTCATGAGTGCAGGTCAGCTTCCGGAAGTCTCGATGCGCTTCCAGGATGGGGATGACCAGTTTGTACACCTCATTCACTGTCTCATACAATCCTCCCTTGGAAAAAGAAGAAAATCAAAGACAGTTTAATCCTTGGAAACTTAAGAAGAGAAACCAGAGTTCATTATGTACTGGAGAATTTTTTTTCTTTGTTTTTCTTAATCCTCATCTGAGGATATTTTTTCCATTGATTTTTAGAGAAAGTAGAAGGGGGGGGAGAGAAACATTGATGTGAGAGAGACACATTGATTGGTTGCCTTCTGCATGTGCCCCTACTGGGACAGGGTTGGAGCCTGCAACTCAGGTACGTGCCCTTGACCCAGAATTGAACCCATGACCCTTTGGTGCGTGGGCCAATGCTCTAACCACTGAGTGATACCTGCCAGTGCTGGAGAATGGTTTATTATGGGCACCAGGATATTTTACAGAGTAGAAGTGATGTCTGAGTATCTTTGGGATGGCTATATATCACTCAAACTGAACTAGACACATGCTAAATAGTTCTTTATGCTGATGTTAAGCAAGGAAAGGGGTTTTCACTGAAAAAAAGAAAAAAGAACAGGAGATTTGGAGCAGAAAATAAGGGCAATTTAGGAAGGCAGATTTAGCATACTTAAATGTCATCAGGGGCCCCCTCATGACCAGATGTTCAATGTATGCCTGAAAGGAGTTAGTAGGATTCTAATAGCTTATTTTCTTAAATTTCAGAAAAAATAGGAGTACATTGGACTTTTTTTCTGAATCCTGAAAAAGAAGTCAGGAAAAAAGAAATAAGAATATAGTTAAGACAATAATTAAAACACACAGAAGTTGTTGGTTGGAAACTTGGAATTGAAAAGTAGAAAAGAAAAAAACGTAAGTATGAAATAAAAATTAATCACCTAGATATAGTGGAATATTAAATATTTAAGGAAGAGGGAGAGTATTACAATGAAAATGGACAAGAGATTTTCTCCCCTGCCCTGAATCTCAGTGACTTAATCCCCAGAGGCCTTCAACTGGTATGACACAAGAATTTTTAAAACATGCAGTATATGACTATCTGGTCAGGGGCACTGACCTCTTTTTCCTTAGATTGTCAAAAAATACAACCAAAACAACAACACAAGAAACAGTCAACACAACAATAGCTGTCTGGTGTAAATGAATCAGAATTATATTTTTTGTCAGATCAGCAAAAAGTATACTTTTTGGTGTGCTGCAGAATTTTAGTAATTAGTTTACGTGCCATGAGATGAAAAAGGTTGAAAATCGCTGACTTAATCTACATATATTTTCTTTGTTGGGAGTGTTTAGACCCAGACTAGGTCAATGAGGGGAGCCGCAGTGGTTTCCGCTCCCACATCCTGCGAGCTGGACCTGACCGTGAAAATCCTGAGGGCGACTCAGTTGTTAGGAAGGATGATGCTGCCGATTTATTCCTTCCCTCTCCCCAATATTCTCCTCTCTGAGAGGGAAGATGAGGTAGGGAGAACATGCCTCATCATTTATTGTGTAGCCCTGGGCAAGCCATTTCACCTCTCCGTGGCTTCGCTTCCACCCCTATTAAAAGGAAATAATGCTGTGAAACTGCTGCCCAGCCAATGAGCATGCGGTGAAAGCAGACTGTTGCCGTGGTGAAAGGCTTTCTCACCTCCCTGGAGAGCTGGTGCAATCTGCAGCCATCAAAGGCGTCCTGGCCATCCCTGTCCTCACACCCCTGCATATGTCCTCACGAAGTGGGGCTGGCTTGGCCATTAAGGCCACATTCACAGCACCAGGAATTCAGCCCAGTGTGAGGCCAGGCTCCGGGACCACTGTGTGCACTCACCGTGCTGAACAGCTCGGCTGCCTGTTCCAGGAGGCCCACCAGGCCGCTCTCGGTGAAGTAGCGGCCTGAGCACACTCCATCCTCATCCGGCGACAGGGTATCTTCAGAGACTGCAGATTCCTCCAGCACATTGGAAGAAATATTCTGAAAAAGAAAAAAAAGAAAGTATAAGCATGGAGAACAGGGAAATCCTGCTAACAAAAGGCACTACGGGGACCCCAAATGTCGTGATGAGAGCCACACTCAAAGATCTGCAGCAAGCCTGTGATAGTCCCGTCCAGGCCTGTGATTCCCCCGGGGAAGAGGCCCGCCCTGGCGATTCATCATTCGGAGAGAACATATGAGCAACAGGCCTTCAAAACTCACAATTTTCTTTTTTTTTTTAATAACCATTAGGAGCTATAGAAAGGATATCTGCCTCAATATAACAACAGCTGAACAACATTTAGGGAAATGACCATAAGGGACATCCAGCTGGGGTCATGGTTTTTAAAAGGCAAAGGCCAAATAACAGGTGACCAGACTCCTCGTTTCACCAGCTGAGTGAACCTCTTATTTTTGGGGGTGTTTTTCTGAACATTGCTCCTCCCGACTTGACTTTCAGATGAAGAACCACAATATTGTACGACAGTAGCAAATTAGAATGTCTTCTCCATGGAAAATTTTATGGTAATGTAGCAGTTATCCTTTTTACCCCAAACATTTTGTTACTTTCTACATGCCTTTCCTTTACTTAAACTGTAGAGTTTGAAGTCTCTGGCAAAGAATGCAGTGGCTGAAGCCAGGTCTAGGGTGAACCCCTGAGAAACACAGGGCAGCACTTACTCTTGGGGCTGTGGAAGTGCTAACCCTGAAATTGCTTGACCCTGAGAGTACTTCCTTAAATCTCTGCCTTACTGCCTCAAATGCCTCTTCCAAGCTCTGAACCTGAGAGGTCAAGAGTCATTTTCTTCAACCTGTCTCCCAGCTGTGGAAGAAATGCATATGGAGCATGGAAGAAATGGGAAACCTTTCTAGCTTAAGGAAATGCAAACAGCATACATGTCCCTTCCTATTCCTGCACTCATGGCAGGCATAACTAATCAATCATAGCACTCTTTTCCCTGAAGCTTAGATATAGTCTCAAAAGTCTTCTCAGCATAGTACTCTAGTCAGCCACTACCAATGGACCAGAGTTGGCTTTTGGAGTAATACATGTCTGCCTCCTGGCTTGGCTAGTAGGATCAAGTGAATCTACCTTAGCAATCTAGGAAAAGAGAGTTGTTATGGGCCTATGTCTTCACCTCCAATATTGTAATGCAGTTTTAGGAATATAGGAGGCTTTCAGAATCTTTTGTAACCAATCTTTCTTCCAAACCTGGTCTTTCTATTATGATGTTTCTGGATTGGAGATAACAGAAGGTCCAAAAGATTCATTTGAAAGAATCTAATAACCCCCAAAGCAAATACTATTAGAACTGTATGCAATTTCCTACATGCAGAGGAACAGATTTGAAGTTATATAGCTTTATTAGCTGTAGTCATGGAAAAAGATTCTGGGCAAACTTTCCTGGCTTCAGAATTAGGAGGTAAGAGTAACAGCAGTATCTGAGACTGCATCCATATCCACACTTGTGGAGTAAATATTGTACTCCGGGGCATAGCATTTCAATGATCTCAGTTCCGTAGAATTCAGTGGTCTCAAAGTTATTGCTCTTTCACAGATTTATTTATCTCTAGTTTACAATTCTTTTCCAAAAATTTGATTTTCTAATCTTTTTTTTATTGTCTAAAGTTTTACATGTGTCCTTTTTCCCCATCGACCCCCCCTCAGCCATTCCCACCCCCGAGGGCAAGCCCCCAGGCGCCAGTGTCTGTGTCCATTGGTTATGCTAATATGCATGCATACAAGTCCTTTGGTTGATCTCTAACTGCCCCCACCTCCCCCCAAATTCAATTTTATTGGAGCAGAACAAGGTTGAAAACTAAAGCACAAAGCATCTAAGAACTCAACACTGAACATCTGTTGTTAATGCTGCCAGAATTCCTTCATCCTTCTACACAGTAAAGCCTCCTGGAGAACTATCCATAACTTCAGGTGTGGACCTCAACTCTGGCCCAGCCAATTCCACTTCTCACTCCATTCCTCTGGCCATTCTGATTGGTTCAGGCAGGAGAACACAACCCCATCAGAACCAATAAGATGCACTGAGGCTTTCTCAGCAACTGCTAGGAATGAGGCATCTGTCTATTCTTCTGGACTTGAATCTGGGAAGATGTAAGCCTAAGTGTTTCTCAGTGAGTGTGGGAAGCCTGTGAAGAATGAAGGTGACATAACAGAAAGCAGAGACAGGAAATGGTTTTGACACTGAGTTCTGATGACATTGTTTGGGTCCTTAGGTTCAGTTTGGCAGGTTCACCTCCCTCATGCTAGCTGATAAATTCCATTTTTTCCTTCTGTCACTGTGGGTTAGGTGTTCCACCCCCTGCAAGCATATATTTCCAAATGGATGTGGTATGTCTCATTTGAGAAAAAATTGGCTCAAAAGCATCAACATAATTTGGCTTCTCTTCTGTAGCTGAGAACACCTAATTCACCATGTTCTGTGTATTATGAAGATCTCGCACTTCTCAGTTCCTTCTGCCCTCCCCTTTGCCTTCCTTGTTCTTCTGAGTTTTTCCTTTACCTCCAGGCTGGGTCACATTATAAACATTCATAGCAACTTTATTATTGCATTAACTATAATTATAAGTAAGTAAGGAATGAAATAGTTATATGATGTCACTTTCCCTGGTGAGAATGTAAAGTTCATGGGGACAAAACAGGTGCTTAATAAATATCATCTAAATGAATGAATGAATGAATGGATAAAGAATATTAAAAAATACAGCTATCTGCACCCCTCAATGCAGGAACAATGTGAAGTGTTCTGTTGGTTCTAGAATAACTATTCTATCTCACCTTGGCCTGACTTATTATAAGCAAATCAATCAAATTCTTGGTGAAATGAAAATGGTAAGGATTATCAATTATTAAAGTGATAAATATAAAATAGAATAACTGAGAAAAAGTATAAAAGAATAATAGTTCAGCTAATGAAACAAGAAAAGAGGACACTACAATTCAAAACTAAGTGATAGACCTAAAGATTTCGGGGCACTGAAAGTCTATCACTTATAATATTTACCCTTGATAAAAACAAGTGGCCAAAATAAATTGGATGAAAGAAGTAGATACATCTAAAATGATTTTTATAACTTTACTTTTCTGTGATTCAAAACCTAATGTGATTTTTTATGGGATGAGAATTAAATGTTTGGCTTTTATAACAAGTATTTCTGAATTGAGAATATAATTTATTTGCAGAGAATAAAAAAATAGAATATTTCTGTTATTGAAGACCATAAGAAAAGAGGAGCTACTAATATGAGGCAATACCCAGCTTAGCAGGTGGACAGTATTCTAGGAAACAGAAACTCCTGGCTCTACCAGCAACAGACTTAGTGACTTATTTTCTCTGCCTGTGTAAGCTACTCTCAATTGCCCCCTCTTTCTGGTTCACATGGCATCACAAAATTATGTTGAAAAACAATAATGAGAACAAAGCCTTTTATAAAACCAATCGTGTAAGTTCAAACAAGAATAATGCAAACACTTGTAAATGACTTTGTGAGTCTGGCTTGCAAAGGGCTCAATTACTGTACTTGTTATATTGTTCATGGTTTTGGGGTTGGTCATTCCCACAGATTATGTTTCTTAAAAGAAAAGTACTCATAACACTTTTGTTTCCTCTAAATACGGTGTTCAACCATTTAGTGAAAGTCCCAGTGGCCTCTTAGCATCCTAGCCTGAACCAATTTTCAGCCTGGCAGACAAGTTCCCTTTTCTGAATATGGGCAATATTCAGCCTATCATGAGAAAATATTAATTCAGTCCCCCTTTTCCCTTAGCATGTCGATTTGGTTCTTCCTTGATTTTTGGGCCATAAGGGAAATCATTTCTACAATGTTTGGAAAATTCTCTCATGGTTGTCAGTATACTGTGCCAACTATGAGTCTTTGAGAAAGCGTTTAAATAACCTTAGAAAAAATGCTCTCTCAGTTTCTTTATCTGTCTGCCTGCTTCACTGGTTGGTGGGGAGGTCAAATGAAGTCATGGATGTGAAAGTGTTTGGTAATGTCTAAAGTGCCTCTGCACTTATTGTAATCAATAATTTAATAAACCAAACAAACCAAGATGGTACAGCAATGAGAAGAGGCAAATAGAATACACTAAAGCAGGTTTTTCAGCTTTGGCACTTTTGATATTTGGAGCAAGATACTTCTTTGTGGGGGGAGCTATCCTAAGCATTGTAGAGTGTTTAGCAGCATCCTTGCCTTATACCTTTTAGATGCTAGTAGCACCTTCCCTCCTCTCCCCAATGGTAATATCAAAAAATGTCTCCAGTCTCCCAGTTGAGAAGCACTACCCTGCAGTAAAAGCTGAACGTGCCCCACACCTGAAAGCTGACGCTGCCCACGGGCAGGTAGCTGTGGTCCTCTAGCATGCTCAGATATTCCGCCACCAAGGCAGCTGCGTGCACAAGGCACATGGCGGCCTCCGTGTAGCACTTCTTCTTGGAGTGTTTCTCTGCCATATTCTGGAGCCAGGTCAGCCGCAGGTCGGGAGATGTCTGGTAACTCTTGGCAATTCTGAGGACAGAGTGAGAAAGTTTCAAGGACAACTGGTTAATGACACTGTTTTTCTACTGTGTGTGGCCACTTTTTTCCCCCCCCAAGAAATTCCCCTCCCAGAGTTTACCTACACATTCAGAATATGAGAGAAAAGGCCAACATTTATCAGTCCAGCTGTTTTCACTCCATGTCTAAGGTGTTTTGGACCCCAAGGAACAGCATTTAATTAAAGCTTTACGGGGAAAAAAGAAACCTGATAAAATGATATTTATGTTAATGGATCTCTAGCAGTTTTCTTCCTTTTCTTTCCTTTCTCTCAAAAAACAGAAGACAAAAGTACTACCATTCTTTTTTTTAAAAAATATGTTTTATCAATTTTCTACAGAGAGGAAGGGAGAGGGACAGAGAGCCAGAAACATCGATCAGCTGCCTCCTGCACGCTCCCTACTCAGGATGTGCCCACAACCAAGGTACATGCCCTTGACCGGAATCGAACCCGGGACCCTTCAGTCCCCAGGCCGATGCTCTATCCACTGAGCCAAACCGGTCAGGGCAGTACTACCATTCTTATTTCAGCAGAATGGTTTTGCCTCTGTGAGTAGTTTCTCCCGAGGCAGGGCTGTGAAGCAAAATTTTAAGCTACAGAGTAAAATATGATTTTTTAAAATAAAACTGTACCTGTATGTCTGAATATAATAGTAAAAACACATAAGAAATAATTCATATAACAGTTGATAGTTCTTTTCTCTCACTCTATACTAAGTGGAGGATGGTGTTATAAAATGGGCATTTTACTTAAATTAGGGAGATCTTCCTGATAACTTGTACATGAATCAACTCTCTCTGAATAATTAATTTCTACCAGTTTCTATAAACAGTTTTGGATGTATCATCCAAAACAGTGGCCTGTGATAATAGCATTAATAAGAACTCCACCTGACAAACCTTAGAGCAGTGGTTCTCAACCTTCCTAATGTTGCGACCCTTTAATACAGTTCCTCATGCTGTGGTGACCCCCAACCATAAAGTTATTTTCGTTGCTACTTCATAACTGTAATATTGCTGTTATGAAACATAATGTAAATATCTGATATCAGGATGTATTTTCATTGTTACAAATTGAACATAATTAAAGCATAGTGATTAATCACAAAACAATATATAATTATATATTCAATATGTGTTTTCTGATGGTCTTAGGCGATCCCTGTGAAAGGGTCGTTTGACCCCCAAAGGGGATGCGACCCACAGGTTGAGAACCGCTGCCTTAGACCCTCAAGTGACACCCTTTTGATTTCATCAGAGAAAGTTACCTGTACATGAGATCCATAAGCATTTCAGGATCTTCCTGAAATTCCCTCATTTTCACTGTGTCATATAGGATGCTATTCAGATTGCAGAGAAGTTCCTCAACCTGCAAAAAAGTGTAGAAAAAGTAATCTTCACTTTGTAGCCAGGGTAATGAGTTAGAATTGCACTGAAAGTGCAAGGGCAGCAGGAGCAGGCTTCTCTAGGAGAGGAGAGATTGTGAGTGGAGGGGAGTCTAGACTGGATCCTCTGTGGCCTTCACCTTTGTAGGTGAAAAAGAATTTAGTGTGAACTAGTTCCAGTTATTTGCAACCTAAGGAGTCCTAAAGTATAATCCAGAACATCAGGGCTGTTTATACCAAGTAGGAGACAGCTTAGGACGTCAGCTTAGGTTCTACATTATATATATATATTTGCCATTATTCAGCATGCTTTATTCCAGAAACTTCCTTAGCAGAGGAAGACAGACTGGCAACTGTGATCCTTAATGTTCATTACCCACAGTAAATGAGACTGAGGCTACCTGAGCACTTCATATATATATATATACACATACATATCCGATGTAATAAAAGGTAAATTGTCCCCTCAACCGGGAGTTTGACCAGGAGTTCAACCTGGAGCTCGACCAGGGTGTTGGGCCAGCCCCCGCCCCCTGATTGGCACCCCTCAACCCCGATGGGGCGGGCTGGCAGAACCCCACCTGTGCACGAATTTGTGCACTGGGCCTCTAGTGTGTGTGTATATATATATATAATGTAAAATAACGTTATATAACACTTATATATTACATATGTAAGTATATAATATATAACTATATATTTTATATATAATATATTGCGGTGTATGTATATATGCATATACACACAGACATACACATATATGAATTTATTATTATTGGCTAATCCCCAATTCATGCATGAGACAAGGCATGTTCTTCAGCCTACCTGGGTGGGGAAAAGAGTGGTCTGCATGGCTTTGTCCTCTTCTGCATAGGCCAAAATTGTCCTCAAGGATTTTCTCAGGTGCTCCTCATTAAAGTCTTGTGCTTTGCCCACCAAAGATGCCAGAGACATGGTTACCTGCATCTTTACTCTTGCAAAGTTCTGCATCAGTTAAAAGAAAAGATGGAATAGTAAGAGGCACTCAGCTAGTAGATCATTGAAGGCAGTAGAGCCAGATACCAATAACTCTCATCATTGAAACTATCATCTCCTTTTCTCTCAATAAAATGTGAGGTGTCCTCTGCACAAGATTCATATTATTGTTTAATTGGCTTAAAAGGATGTTGCTCTGACATTAAATTTTCATGGAGGCCTGAGCAGCCTCCCTGCTGCCAGACTGGCAGGTTCCTGCAAAGTGGGTCACAGGACGTCCCCTTTCATGCCAAGATTCTTCTTCTTGAAACTTTATTTAAACTGCACAGAAGAACATGATCTCCAGGGCCAGGATTTCTGAGATTCTGGACCCTGTGTAGGCCGCCACTTTCTGTTTCTCCTTCCCTCCCAGGCCCATGGGAAAATATGACTATTCTAAGGGCCCCTGAGGAATGTTGTAATGGCTTTTAAATAGCTATGCCTAATGTAGTCTGAGGACCCTGCCTTTCTTCCATGGGCCAATTTATCTTTTAATATCACTTGAGCATGCTCATGAACATGACCATGAATGTAAATTCCAAAAGAACATATCAATATCTAGACCAGCTAAAGCAAAAGTTGACTCTTTTGCAATAAAATAGCACCAAAGGCTGCTAAGCTTCAATGAAAACTCAGGTGTACTTTCAAATTCTCTTCCACAGGTCATTATGGAACCAGTCAACAGGAATTTATAAATAAAACAAACTCTTCCGAATCTCTATTCTGCCTGTTGTATTGCCCCCCACCCCCCAATGACAGCTTTGAATCTACATCTATTCATTCATTTTTTATTGAAACACCCACGTGGGAAAATGCATTCATCAGTCTTGATGTTCATTTTTGGATGCAAATTTAAACAAAGGCTGCTCTCCCTCTGCATAGTCAATTGTTTTCTTTGCATAGGAAGAAGTAAATTGCAATCCTGCAAACATTTCCTCAACCACTGTTTTGCACTGACTTTCTCATTGATTCTGGGTCACCCAGCTGGTCTGAGCTCTTACACTGATGGCTCCAAAACTGAATCTCATGAGAAGGTAGAGGGTGGCACAGGCTTGGCTCCGGGTGACGTCCATGCTGCTGCTGCAGTGATGCAGCACTCGCTGACACAGGTCCGCACACTGCTCCACCTCCTCCTCAAACAGCAAGTCGCCGAACTAGGAGAGACACAGG